TGAATTTCTACTTCCTGCTTAGACTCCAGTCCACTATGCTATCTCCAAAGTCATACTCCAAAGTAAATTCACATAGCTCCTTATTGCTTGCAGATACATTATACTCCTTAGTAAGGCCTTCAGAATTTTCTCACAGCCAAATGTCATCAACTCACAGCATGTTTTATAATCTGGGCAGATGAGTTTATCTGGCATACCTTAAAATTCACACTGTTTCTTTAACTGGAAATGCTTTCCTCCTACTAGATCTATTAAAATATTAGCCTTACAAGCTACTTCCAAATATTACCTTCCTCTTTCCCCAGAACCACTCTATTCTAGTACTCATTTCATTTTGCTTATAGTGAGTTGCAGTTTTGATAGCAGGGTAAGAAAAGCAATCAGCCCCTTTTTATTTTATCTCCCTCAATAATCACCCTTGGCATAGCAGCCTCACAGTATGCTGGGTGCCTTGCCTTGTCTCAGCTTTTGTCACTGTCTAGATGGATACTCTGAGGTGGCAGAATATAGCAGAATGGTTAAGAGGAAGGATTCTGGACCCAAGCACTTCGATTTAGATGTGGATCCAGCATTTAACGGGTCCATGACCCTGAGCAAATTGAACATGTTGTGCTTCCATGCATCCATCTTTAGAAAGATGATGATAAGAAGAAACAGTTCATATGACTATGGTTGGGATTAAATGAAGTAGCAGAAGAGAGTTTACAACAGTGCTCTAAATGCTCCTTTGTAAGTATACGCTAAGTGTTGGCTCATGAGGATGCCAAGAGATAATTAAAGGACCCACATGTGTCACCAGTCCACGTGGTGGCCCATGGTCATCAAAACTACCCCAGAGGAGAGTGCTGCTCTTGCTGAGATTCACATCCTCAATCAAGGGGCCTTTCACAGCTGCTCTGTAGGGAAATCTGTACACAGAGATCTTGTTTTCCTCTTAAGAGCATTCCTTTAATGAGTGAGGACATTCTTGCAAAATGTTCTGGAATTCTGTGCTTTCCTGTGGCCCTTTCAGTCTGGATTCAGACCTGGTTTTATAATGAAGATTATGCACTTTTCCAGTGTAGAAATTAAAGAGAAAGCACAAAGCATTATATTTGTAAATGAATGGACCCCATTTTAAAAGTAAAATCGACCTTAGAGATTACTTAGTTCAGGAGACAAGAAAACAAAGAGATTAAGTGATTTGCCTAATTCACACAAACTTGTCCAAATCTTAAGGGACAAAATTACTCAACAACATTGCCCAGTTTTTGCCAAAAGATGATATTTTCTTCAGTATGTAAAACTCAGACAAAAATAGAGCTAATTTGCTAAATCCCCATAGAACAAAAAAAGAAATCTTGTTTCTTTCTAAGACTTATTGTTCCATTTAAATTCTAGCCTAGATTTTGCACAATACTTACTGGTCTCCTAATTACCTTTCCTTATGAGGACAAATAATTATCATAATTACTCATTCAGTTGTATATTCATTAATTTACTCAAAAGATATTTGTGAAGTATTTTTACCAAAACTGACCTCAACATTGGAAACTTTCAAAATGAATAAACCCTAGTGTTCTGTGACAGGCCCACATCTGTGCCCTGTGTCAACTGGGTAGTCTAAGTTCAAGCCAGTTCAGACCATAGGCTTAGACAAAGAATTGGTTTTTAAAAGCTAAAATATCGTGCTGTATACGTGTAATAAGAATTGTAATGCTTTCTGCTGTCATTTATTTTTTTTTAAAAAAATCAATTTTAAAAAGCTAAAATATTATTAGTCAAAAAGCCAGTGATCCACTTCAGAGCCAAGTTACCATATATGCAACCAATTGCCATTATGTGAGAATGGTTCTCTAAAAATAAACAAATAATATGTTCTAGTCCCCTTTTATTTTGCCTACAGACTGAGTTCTACAAACTCCAGGACTAAATAAACATGATGCCATTACAAAGACTTTTACACAGTACCATATTATTATCACAGAGTTTTGATGCAGTTTAATTGTTTTCATGAGAAATTGATAAGTCTTAGAGGAAAAAAAATTGTGATCAAATGAATTCAGAAAATATGGGGTTAAACAAAATTAAAGACATTTACTGAGCTTCCTTTCTTCAACCTTTAATACACTAATATATATCATGAATCTCAGAGAGAGATAAAGCATTTGGTCAAGGTCAAACTAACTTGCTTGTAGACCCTTTGGTTTACAGGGCATTGCCCACAAGGGCTTTCAGACCCAAGGTCAAGTTCACCATCAAACAGGTATTGCTTTTTTCTAATACATTTTTTTTCCTGCTATGGTGTAAGCCCATTTTATCTTTTTATATTGTTATTGAGAAAAATGACTCACAGTCATCTGGATAAGAATCATATCTTTACTTGAAAATCATTAAAATACCTTCAACGTTACTCTCCAGGAAGGTCTGGAAAGGATTCATATCCCTTCGCTCTGCACTAAGAAACAAAAAAATACACACCTGGTCCATAAGACCAGCAAGATTTGGCCCCTGCTACCCTCCTAATCTCTACTCCTGTCACTCTTCTGTGGCTAAGTCTTCATCCACATCTGGATTTGTAGGTTTGGAAACTCAGTTGTATTGGTTTACTAGAGGGAAATGGAACCCAATGGAGTCATAAAATCAACTCATAAGAGATTAATGTGTTAGGCATGATGCCAATTTATTAATCTAAAAGTGGAGTAATCAAATTAACTGGATGTTTGTATTGCTTGTCTGTGGCTTCTTTTGGGAAGCTATAAATAGTCATTTGACAGCTTTTGAGCTAGAATCAGTGCCTGAGTGCAAATCCTGACTCTACTTACTAACTGGGTGATCTTATGCCAATGGATCTGTGCTTCTCAGTGTCTATTTCCCCAACAGTAATATTGGATGATAATAATAATTTTTAAAAACCCTATCTCCCTGGTTTGTTGTGATGAGATCTAATGAGAGAATATACCTGTTGCATATGGCTTAGAATAGAATTTGATGCATAATAAGCACTCAACAAATATTAGCTACTATTCCTGGAATAGAAATCTACTTAAAGAACTAACTTAATATCAGAGCCAGGCGAATCAAATAATGCTAAACAGAATTTTTTTTTTTTTTTTTGCAGTTGTGTTAACCTTGTAAGTCACTATGGATGCCTTCATCCATTCAATAGTTATTGACATCCAAATGGGTTTCAGATGTTACCAGATTCACTTGGTAGTCTAGTCTCTTTTTCCATGATGCATGAATATTAAAGAATGTGTGGATGAATTTTGAAATGCAAATGCACAACCTCTATTTCCGCACTTACCTGATTTTGTCGCCAGTCCCACTTCATTCTCCAGACTCTCCATACCTCCAATTAAAAATGCTTAAAAAGCAATTAAAGCCAAGGTCATTATTTAAAGGCCTGGCCTGCTGCTGCCATCTGACCCCTCCTCTTACTCCCCTTTGCACACTGTTTCAGGCACACTCACTGTTTCTTTCCTCACACATTCCAAGCTCCTTCTCCCCCCAGGCTTCCCTCCAGCTGTTTGTTACATCTGCCTGAATTCCTCAAACACTCCCCCCCCCCACTTGGCCTGGCTCCTGTCTATTTGGCCTCAGAGAAGCCTCCCAGATCCCCAGATTGATTAGACTCCTTCATTGCACTTACCATAATTGTAATCAAGTGATCAATGTTTCCTGTGCTCCTTTGCAGCCAAATCAAGGAGAACAAGGCCCTCCTTTCGTGTTCACCACCAAATCTCCAATGCTCTATACACAGGTAGGAATCCAATCCTTAGTTATTGAATAGATGAATTTCATCTGCTTAGCATTTTATATTTTCTGTATTGGAAAGATAAGGCTTTGACCTGTAGCACTCTCTACTCACAATAGAGTAAGATTCAAAATCAGGTCTTTCTGACTCTTAACAAACACCTTTTTTTACACCACACTGCTGCATGCCATAGTTCTGTCTGTATACACCATACTTTTCCTTAGCTTCTGCCATTCTCTATAGGTATCCTCATAGCTATAGTCTTTTTTATTCAGAGCTCTGGACTTTCTCTTTGATTCTTGAACCTGCCTATACATCTCCCTACCTCGATTCTTTCTTAGCCCTCCCCCCCTTTATTGTGAATTAGCATCTGCATATCAGAGAAAACATTTGGCCTTTGCTTTTGGGGGGTTGGCTTATTTCTCTTAGCATGATATTCTCCAGCTCCATTCACTTACCAGTAAATGCCATCATTTCATTCTTCTTTAAGGCTGGGTGATAAATATTTCATTATGTGTATATACCACATTTTCTTTATCCATTCATCTGTTAAAGGACACCTAGGTTGGTTCCATAGTTTAGCTATTGTGAATTGAGCTGCTATAAACAGCTCACTTTTTATAGCAGTGTCACTGTGTGTGTGGCTGCATCACTGTAGTATGCATATTTTAAGACCTTTGGATATAAACCAAGGAATGGGATAGCTGGGTCAAATGGTGGCTCCTTTCTAAGTTTTCTGAGGACTCTCCATACTGCTTTTCATAATGGTTGTGCCAATGTGCAGTCCCACCAGCAATGTAGATGTTGTAATAGGAGCTACCAGGTTTAAGGCCATATTTTGTTTACATTGGGATCTAGTAATATTGTACTCCCCCTTAAAGATGAGGTACTAGAAACCTTCAGGGACACCATAAGTCTACAGGGTAAAATCTGTACTGCCTCAGATCCACATTACTAGATGAAACAAACAAACAAACAACATGAAAAAAAAAAACAAGAGAACAAAGCACCCCAAACAAACCAAGGTGTTCCAATAACAGAATCCATTGACATCACAGTAGACAAAATATCAGAGGAGTTTAGAATGTACATAGTCAAACTGATCTGTGAAGTAAAGGATGGTGTAAGGAGTGAAATCAGAGAGAAACACAGAAAGTGAAAGATCACTTCAATAAAGAGGCAGAGATTCTGAAAAATAAATAAATAAAAGCAAGCAAACAAACAAAAACCAAGCAGAAATCCTCAAAATGAAGGAATTAATAAACCAAACTGAAAATTCAATGGAAAGCATCACCAATAGATAAAACTCAGGCAATGAAGACAAAATATATAATCTTGAAAATAAAGTTGACCATGCAGAGAAGATGGCATGAAAACACAACTATTACAAGTTACTCTTCATCTTATCAAGACAACCTTGCTATTCCATACCCAGATATACACCCAACCAACAAGAATGTAAGTGCATAGTCATACCTTGGTAGGCAAGAGGGATTGGTTCTAGGACCCCCTGCAGATACCAAAATCCTAGGTATTGAGGTCCCTTATATAAAACAGCAAATAATTTACATATAACATATGCATATTCTTCTATACACTTTAATTATTTCTAGATTATTTATAATATCTAATACAATGTAAATGTCATATAAATTGTTGTTATATTATTTAGGTAATAATGACCAGAAAGAAATCTGTACCTGTTCAATACAGATACAATTAAAAAAAAATTTCTATCAGCATTTGGTTGAATCCATAGATATGGAAACCATGAATGGGGGTAAACCTGTGCTTCAATGAACAAAAAGTTTGAAGTCTAATTTCATCACCGAATGTGTTGGTCATGCTCTGTTTGCTCAGATGAGAACTTCCTATATAGGCAAAGAGCCTACACTGAACTAATTGTCTAATATCTAAATTGTGACAAACATAAGGAACACAAGCCTGGAATAGGCTGCCAGGGATCCACCCATGACTCTGCTCAGTCCAGGAGCGCTCACCTAAGTGTGCTGTGGTTCAGGCCACAAAGCAACCAACACACATTCACGCAGTACATTGATCCAGAATGTGCTGGACTCCATGCCTCTTTTCTATCTTCTTCACTCTCAGTGGGACAGAGTGGCTCCTCCTTCCGGGTTCTGAAATCAGTCCTCTCCTTGGGAGAGAGTTAAAAAGATGGATTTGAATCACTAAGGACCCCAGGTTCAAGTCAGTCTAGCTCAGATGCTGGGAATGGCAGATCTGGAAAAGAATGCTCTTAAGCCCCTTCTTTTTTTGGGGGGATGGTACTTGGGATTGAATTCAGGGGCATTGGGCCACTGAGCCACCTCCCCAGTCCTATTTCGTATTTTATTTGGATACAGGATCTCACTGAGTTGCTTAGCACCCTGCCTTAGCTGAGGCTGGCTTTGAATTCGTGATCCTCCTGTCTCAGCCTCTCAAGCTGCTGGGATTCCAGGCGTGGGCTACCACACTTGGCAAGCCCCTTTTTTTCACCTTTCTGGACTGGTTTCATACCCATCCCTGGACTTTCACTGTGCTGGACAAGGGAGGTTCAGAGGAAGGGGAAGATTATCACAAACAATGGAAAGGGCACAGCTTTGAACTCATACACATGGGTGCTCATCCTAATGTCTCTGTTTCCTTATCTCTGATTTGGGGATAATGCAACCAAATTTAAAGTTGTGAATAAATGAGACCCACCTGCCGATCTAAGTCATCTTCATCTCGTCTATTATTGCAGTAACCTGCTAACTGCACTCTCTGCATCTACCTTGCTCCCCTGTTTGTTTTCTATCATTGACATAACATCTAAAACAATGCTGTTTAAAAATGTTACTTGGATAGTTTTTCTTTTCTTTTGGTTTAAAACAATCCCTCCATTTTCCTGCAAATAAGAATCAAAGTTCTCAACTACTTGTTTCTCAATCTCAGCACTGTCGACATCTGGAGCCAGCTAATCTTTGGATGAGCGAGACGGTTCTGTGCACTACAGGATGTTGAGCAGCATCCCTGGCCTCTACCCACTAGATGCCAGCAGTACCAATGGCCCCAGTCCATAACAACCCACAATGTCTTTAGATTGTCTGCTGGGGAGCAAACTGAACCTTGCTGAGAACCACTGGCCCAAAAGAACTTAGATGATTCCTTTCTCAACCCCTAACCTGCTTCCTCTCTCATCTCCTATCGTACCCCTGACTCATTTGGATCCAGTCATTCTGGCTTCCTTGCTTTTCTTTGAACACACCAGGCAGGTGCCTCCTCACAACTTCTGCACCTTCCATTTCCTCTGCCTGTGATATTCATCCTCCCAACACCCACGTAGCTCCTTTCCTTACCTCCTGCAAGGATTTGCTCAAATTTCACCTTCTTAGTGAGCCCTTCCCTGGATTCCCTATTTAAAAATTTAATTTGGAACCAGCGTAAGTTTTATTTACTTTGTTTATTGTCTGGTTCCCCTGTGAAAATATAAGATCCAAGCAGGCAGGGATTTCCTTTGTTCTCTGCTCTGTCTGCAGTGCCTAGGATAGCGCCTGGCTCATAACAGGTGTTCAGAAAAGATTTGTTGAACAAATGAATGAATAAGTTCTTAGCCCAGTGTCTTAGCTCAGTGTCTCATAGGCATGTGGGAGGCAATCAGTGAGTATCAGTGCCCCTTTTCACTCCTCTGCCACTAAAGCCACCATTGTAACTGGGCTGCTTCCGAAGATCATCACTGTGCTTCTTCTGTCTTATTGCTCCCTTTGTAATTGCCACCTCCCAAGACTAGGGTCTCTCCCTCAACAACAGATGATGTCATGACTTGGGTTGACAGTTAGTCTTGAATCTGAGCACCTTACTGCATGGTGATGCTCAGCCCATTTGACAGGACAGCTGACACTCTATCTAACTTTCCTTGTGCAGTCTGGGGTGCCATTCCTCTGTCACAGACTGTCCAGGTTCTGCAATCCCCTGCTGCCTCTCCTGACCCACCTGCACATCATCCTCATCCCTCCCCTCCTACCAGCAGCACCCCAACCTATCATTTCCCCAAAGGCAGAATCCGGTCTGGTCTCAGTCCTGACATGCTCTGCACCTACCCCTGTCTCCACAACTTCCTTCTTTCAAAACCTTGGAAAAATCAGCAACAAGTTCATCTCCCTTTTCTCTATTCAGCCTCCAAGAAACCTGAAATCCCATCAGGCATATCTTCCCCTGTAAAGCTTGCTTGCATTTTCTTGCGTCCACTTGGACTGTCATGTGAGCCAGCACTGGAGCCATAGAAACCTGACGCTCTTCCATAAGTAAAGAACTGAGAATGACAAGACTCAACAAGTCATCAGGCTTCCAGCGAAAAGGCGGCCTGCAGTCCAGGTCGGTCATCGTTTTTAATGTGTTAACGTGATACGAGACAGTTTCTTTGGCAAGTATCACAACAATATCAGCACAGACTTATCTGGATATAGTAGTTAGTTAATGGCCTATAATAAGAAAGATCAAATAACCAAGTACACACTATTTCCACCTCAGGTTTTCTTGTGTGGCTATTGCAGGGATAGGTTGGGGCCAAAATCAAGATACATTCCAAATACAAACTCGTGAAACTTAATGAAACAACCCTCTGAAAACTGATTTTTAAAATAGAAATAGATCTATAGACACAATTCCAAAGTGCTCACATAAGCAAAAATCATGGATTGAACCATGATGCATTTGTCTGAGATAAAATTGAAGATCGTTTATCAAGTTGTCAGTGGAATCAATTATTTGAACCAACACTAATAACAAAAAAAAAAGATATTTAAGGTTATAAGGATTTCGTGAAAAACTCAAGGTAATCAAAAACACCAATTGAAAATTATTATAGTTTGGCTTCTGGACTTCTGGCCATGGTATCCAGTCAATTTCTCTCCTCCCTCTGTCTTCCCATGCTGACTTCTCATAGCTTTTCCACAAGCTAGAGAGGATGACAGAAGTAAGCACTCTATGTCCTTGGCCTTTTTAATTCCTGAATGCTATGAAGGATGGCAGTCATTTATCACCTTCCCATAGCAGGAGACAGGAGTAGGATCTGATTTCCTGATTATCTGGGTCATATTTTTCTACAATGGTCTTAAAATGATAAATATACTTATTACCATATCAACCCTGCGAGGGATAAATTGTGAAAAGAGCAAAGGCAGAAATTGCTTAATCTGCCTGATCATACAAGTTGTATGTGGATGATTATGCATCAGAGCTATTTCTCTGGATAGTCAGTCACCAAAATTCCTGTGCCAAAGCCATTGGCCACAACTAACTGGAGTTTAATTATCTTCCTGAATAAACCTCAGTTATGCTCCACTTTAGATTTTGAGCCATAACAAATAAAATATCTATTGTGTTTTGAATGAAAAAAGAAGTCATGAATTTCCATCATGGCTGTATGAGCTGAAATTCCCACACAGTGTATAAGAGTTCCTCTTTCTCCATATCCTAGCCAACATTTGCTATTTTTATCTTTTTTATTATAGGCATCCTAACTGGGGTGAGATGATATCTCATTGTGGTTTTAATTTGCATTTCCCTGATGATTAGTGATGTTGAACATTTTTTTTTCATGTGCTTGTTGGCCTGTTGTCTATCTTCTTTTGTGAAATGTTTGTTCAGATCATTTGTCCATTTTTTAATTAGGGCACATTATATACATGTATCAAATTATCACACCGTGCCTGTAAATATGTATGATTAGTATGTATCAATTGAAAACTAAAAACATTTTCAAAAAAGAAACAAGTTTTTTTTTTTTTTTCTTTCAGATCTCATTTTTGGAATTTCCCAAGTGCCTGGTAAAATACCCAAATATTTAGACCTTGGCAGAGCTCCGATGTGTCTCGGCAATGACTCCACAGTGCTTCAGTGCACTGTAGCATAATGCAAGACACATTGATTCTGTGCTTAGCCATTTAATTAATGAACATTTGTGGAACACTGGTTGTGTACAAGATCCTATATCCATGCCATATACAAACAAAAATACTAGAAAGTGAGAATAACCCCAGCAGGGGCCACAAGTCGAGGAAGTTTGTTTTGAGTAGAAGGAAAAAAACAACTTTACTTATAAATTTCCTTACCTTAAAACCATTCCATGGTTATGAACAAGTGAAAATATGAGCCATAAATAGAAAGGAATAACAGAATAAAAAAAAGAAACCTTTTTTCTGTAAAGAGACTTGATAGGGAGCAGTTGGATTTAAAATTTTGAAAGTCAATAGAAATCCTAATGAACCCGGAACTGCCTTTCTCTGCAATATTTTGAGAATTCTTTGTAGCAAATGGCTCTGATTCTGACCTTTAGTAATTGGCTTAAAGGGACAAGAACTTGCCAGCATTTTCCTCCTTAACCTTTATGCATCTGCAGAAAATCTGGCTTCCATGCAAACCAAATAATTATGTATTTAAAGCAAGGTTAATAGGTATGTAGGTTCAGAATATCTGGTGGGAAAATTTTATTAACAACCTTAAAGTAAAAAAATATAGGTTCCTGGGGCTGCAATTAGACCTAACAGCAGTCTATAATATTGAATTCCTCCCTGATATTTTCCCAGAAAGAAATAAAGATCATTTTCTTGCTTCAAACATTTTGGAATAAAATTGCTTTACTCATTTTAGAGAAAATCTCCTTTAGGGAAAAAAAGTCCAGCATGTGTGTTTCTTTCTCTGTTGGGATTGCTGATCCCGATATGAAAAGGATTGTCAAGTCTTTAAGGAGGACATTGAATTGACGTTTCTGTTACTTTCAACCTTAGTCCTTTTTCTATAACTATAATGAAATATCAGGACTGGATAATTTATAAAGAATAGAATTTTATTGAGTTCTGGAGGCTGGACATCCCAGAGCATGCCAGCAGCATCTGATTGGCACCTTGGGAGGCCTCTTGCTGCAGGGTAACAGGGTAGAGGGCATCATATGGTAAGGCAGAGCAAGCACACTAGCTTGGCTCTTTCTTCCTTTTCTTCTAAAGCCACTAATACCATCATGGGGATTCCATCTTCATGACCTCATCTAATCCTAATTGCCTCTGAAAGGTCCCACTTTCAAATACCATGAACATAGGAATCTGGAAGTCATGTTCTCAGCACATAAACTGTTGGGGCACATCCAACCATAGTATCTACTTATGCTAGCAATAGTTCCCCAACTTCCTTCTGGGTAATCTTTCTAGTTTCTATTGCTGTAGCTTCATTTCAACCTCATAGAGATGGGTACATCCGTCCTGGTCAAACACCACATCTGTGGCCTCAGCAATTAGGTCAAGATTACTCTTGATCCAAGCCAGGCCAGTGAGATTAGCAAATTGGTGGTCACCATCTTGCTCCTCCTCGAAGAACCTGCCAACTGATGATGGAAGTGAAAGAAAGTAGAGGTCAGAGATAAAAAGAAACAGGTTTTTTGAAGTCATATTTGACTATCTAGATCCAGCCACGAGTGAAACTCTGATTTCAGGTCACTGATACTCTTCACTTTGCCAATCTCCCTACGCCCTTGGTCATCGCCTATCCTCTTGTCAGGACTTCCACAGAGCACACTTCTCTTGGTGTAGATCACTTGCCTTTACCTGTTCCCAGAATGTGCAGATAGACACACACCTGCCTAGTCTTCTTCCCACCAGAATCTGTACACCATTTTTTGCCCTATCTACTGATCAATCTCATCTCCCACATCCCTGACAACCTCCCAAAGATAGGTTTTTGTCTCCAGTTTGTCCTATGCATTCAACTGGAAACTAAGCTTCCTTCTCTCAAAAACCATAGGCATTTTAGATTTAGAACCAATACATTTTATTTTTTGCTTAAGGCAGTTTGAACTAGGTTTCTGTCACTGGTAACTGAAATAGCCCTTGATCTTCATTGATTGCAGAATTCAACCTTTCTAAAGCAAATTGATTTTTTTTTTGAAAGAGGTAAGGACCACTTAGATGCAGGCTTTTAAAATAAGATTGGCATGAAAGCATGAAAGTACCATTTTGTGCATAAAATATTTTGCACTAAAGTATAATGAATATACACTGAAAGGTCATTAAACTGATTTTGTACACACCTCTGGTCCTCTGAAGAGAACTTTCCATGATGCCTTCTGATATTGAAATGGCACTTATTTAATGCCTGCTATATGACTATTCATGAAATGAGTGGCTTTAGAGCAAAATTCCCCAGGTGGTGGTCTTGTGGTCAATAGACCACCTGCATTGGTAATATTTCTATTGGTTGGTAATATCAGGTTTAAAATTCAGATTTCTTGGACAAACTCCAAGCCCTTTGTATAGTTGTATGTGGGAATTAAGCCTAGTAATATTCATTTTTTGACAAAATTCCAGGCAACTCCTGGGCTCATAGGAGTTTAAGCATCACTGCCTAAGTCATGTCTCATGTATTTATTTTTTCTTTTCTTTTTTTTCAGTTTGCCTTCAAGTGTTACTGTCCTGACCCAAATAAAAATTCTAAGAACATTTCATCATTTTGAAGATTGAGACAAACAAGTGCACCTGGACAATTTGGTAAGGGTGTTATGTGTTAGCTTTGGTTAAGTTAGCTCTGATAACAAATGACTCAAAATATTGATGGCTTACAAATGCTGATTTCTGATTCACTCACTTTTCTATTATAGGATACTCCAAGACTGGATATCAAAACTCTTTCTGGGTCTTGTAGCAGAAGGGAAAATGGATAGGTGGAGAACAGCTAACTCTTGAAGTTCTGCTCAGAAGTGACACAGGTTACCTACAGTCACCTTCCATGAGCCAAAGTGGGTCAGATGACCACACCTGTGTTCAGTGGAGTAAGACAGATAATATGTCTACAGAAAAGGATACTACTGGAAAAGCAGCCAATATTTTGAACAGAAATATAATATACCACACAGAAAATCCTGTGGAGTTGGTCAAATGCTCTTGAAAATAAAGAGGAGAATGTATGGTCAGGTAAGTTTAGGACCTGCTATATATAATATCAATTTCTGTAGCTTTATTTTGTAAACCAACCTAATGACTGTCAGAGTCTTGCAGTGGAAAATAACAACAACAACAACAAAACAAAAACAAAACAAAACAGAAAACTAAAATTGTTTAACCCAAATTTCCAAACTTTGTTTTCATGGAAGACTTTTCAAACACCATCTCAACATACACCAACAATTTGAGCTGTCCTAACATTTTCTTCTTCTACTATACAGCATGGATGTAGGATATTCCCAGTAGAATATTTCATAATAAACTCTGTGTAAATTTTAAGCTTTACAAATGTGAAAAAAATTCTGGTATTCTAATAGGTCTTCCAAAAAGCCTTAGGGTTCTGTGCAAATATTTTTAAATTATTCTAATTAGTAATAGTCTGTTGAAATTTAATAGTGTTAATGGAGAGCATGTAAGAAGCGAATCTAAAAAGCCAGTTCTTCCAGATTAGTGAATGTTCCAGAAAAGATTTTACCTTTAGATCCTTTTTATTACCATGACTGGAATTAGGTAATTCCTGTAAATTAAAAGATGCACTTTTTTCCCATTTAGGGCAACCTATGATTTTAAAATTTCATAAACTATTCTGCAGTTATAAATAAGCACAAAAATACTGAGTCTATGATGGGCACCACTGGAGAAGCTCATTTTCTGCTTTTTCTCTGCTTCCACCCAGTGTATCCTCTCCTCTCCTCTACTGGATGCTCTTGGTGTACAATGTTTATGCTACTGTGTGTCATGGGTAGCTGCAATTACCTCCTGATTCTTCCAATTTTAAGTCACTGCTACTGACCATCTTTTAAAACACCCATCTTTTCCTCTCTGTTGCCTTCCTCTTCTCTATCACTTCCCAGTCTCCTACTCTCAGATTGACTCCTGAAATAATGGGTTTCCTCCAGTTTTTGCCCCTGACACTCTCGTCTAATCAGTCCTTCAATCTGCCTTGGTGTATGTGTCCATTGTCTGGCTGTCTTCTCCATTTCACATTGCTCCAGAGCTTCAGGACCATGTACAGGACCATTTTCTAATTCCTATTAGGTCATCTCTACTTAGTACCTCACATCTGCTTCAAAACTAATGAATCCCAAATACAACGTTTCATGTTCCTCCCCAAATCTGCTCTTCTTACATTCCATGTCTCCATTAATGGTTATAACACCTATTCTGTATTTCAAGGAAAAAAAGAAAGAAAGAAAGAAAGAAAGGGAACATTATTTCTGCCCCCCATTTCTGTGTCCCCTAAGTTCTAACTCATGCCTACATTCAGCCTGGGTAACCTCAGAAATAGGAGACTTGAGACTTTCTTCTCTACTTTTACACACCATCTTTGTTCAGCTGTGATAACATTTGCTTGGGTTCTGAGAAGGTGATTTAGTGATGAAGAGAATGGATTCTAGCACATAGATTGCTTGGAAGGAGTTCTGTCTCTACCACTTCTTGTGGTGTAGCCTAACCAAGTTAGCTACTTCTCTGTGCCTCAGTTTATATAACTATTGAAGAAGGAATTATTACATTACCTACCACATGGAGTGTTGAAAGGATTATTTTGGTAAATATACACAAAATGCCTGGCATACAGTATATGCACAATAAATGGCAATTACTAATATTACAACAAATTTTTACTGATTTTGCTGGTACTAGTCTCTTCCCAATCTTACTAGAATCATCCTCCAAAGAAACAAACCCTATCATGTTACTCCTTAGCTTCTGCAAGTTTTCTGCCATTTAAAACCCAAAGTTTAATTTTATTAGCAGGGCATGTAAAACCTTTCAATATCTGTTCCCAAGATACATTTCTGGCTTATTTCTGGCTGCCTATCCTGCAAACGTTAATTCTGTACTCTGGGCCACAATAAAGTTCTAATCATTCTTCATACCCTCCATGCCCTTTCCTAACCCTGTGCCTTTCCATTTACTACATCTGTGTTAGTGACCTTCCCTAAAGCATGCTGCTATAACAACCATCTCCATGCCCTAATATTTTCCAATAAACTAGGCTTATTTCTTATTTGTGTTACATGTTAGCTTCAGTTTAACCTCAGATCTGTTCCAAGAATCTGCATTCTGAGAACAAAGCTGAGCAGTCTCTTTCTAGAGATGGTTTTATCCCATAGTAGAGGGAAAAGAATTCGATATTGGAGCATGATGATGAATCTTAAATGTTTTGCTCATAAGCAGCATAAAACACATCTATTAACATTTTATTGAGCTAAACAAGTCACTTGACTGTCTGACCTTAGTTGGAGCTGTGAAATATTAACCTATCACACAGAGATGGGACAAATAATTAACAATAATAATAATATAAATATAAATCCCTCATTTTCTTATATTTGAAACTTTGTGACATTTCCTTCCTTCTCTCTGTTCTTCAAAACCTCCAAAGTTCTGTTCTCACCTCATTTGCAATGCTTCCCTGACCCTCCCCGGAAGAGTTAGCTCACTTCTCTGCATTCTCAGAACTCTGGCTCCACTTCTGATAAAATGCTTATACATTCTAGTAAGAGCATCTGTTTACATATCTCTTGTGAACAAGGATCACTTCTTGATTTCTCTCTCCTTGGTTTCAAGCACCAAGAGACATTCTGTGGTTTGGCTATTTATCAGGCAACTAGAAGGCTGTTCTAACAAGCAGGTAACCAAGTAACTCCTCCATTGAGGCAGGAAAGGGATGTCTCAGTTCAGGTTTTCATTGCTACTTATCACAACTTCTACTTGGTTTCACTCCACCCAGAATTCCCTCCTGCCCTTCCTCAATCCATTCTCCAATGCAGAAATGCTTTGCACCAAGCATCACCTTCAATGGCCCCTCCTCACCATCCTCCAACAGAGTTAAGTCTTGCCCCACAGTATTTTAATCTCGTGTCTGTTCAATCCCATCACTTTATGATGACAGAGAGTCCCAGACCTATCATGGCTTGACTAATGATTTTTCATCTTATGGTGGTGTAAAAGTGCTAGATATTTGTTCAGGTGTCAGTCTGCTTCTTTTTTCTTCTCCTCTCTCTTTCTCTCTCTCCCTTTCTTTTTAAGTACTGGAGATTGAACCTATAGGTGCTCTACCACTAAGCTATTTGATCTTGATTTATAGGGTCTCACTAAATTGCCCAATGACCTCAAACTTGCAGTCCTCCTGCTTCTGCCTCCTGAGCAGTTGGGATTATAGGCATGGGCCACCATGGCCACCTGTCTGTTTCCTCTGAGTGTAGTAAGAGACTTTTTAGATAAGGAACTTCAGTGTGTAATTCCTCTCTATATTTAGAGCAAACTGCCTTGCACATATGTAAAGTGCTCAATTAATGCTTGTTTTACATTGAGCTGCTGTTAAGCAGAAGGCAAAAATTATGATTTGTAAATTTTGTGGTCAGTTATATAATATGCCAAAATACATTCTAATGTCATGTATATCTAAAATGAGCAAATAAAATTAAATTTAAAAAATAAATCTTAAAAAAGTATGGTACAATTTAAAATGTTGTTTGATCTATTGGTCTAGCATATGCAAATATTTTCATGATACATGAAGAATGGAGTGTTTCTAGTATTAACCAATATGCTAATATTATGTGAATTTTAACTTTCAGATATAAATTCCATGCAAGACTATTAGAAATGAACCAGTTCTCATAAGTACTTATTAAAATATTTAGGGAAAAAAAGGCTACAAGCTACAAAAAACTCAGGGTACAAAAGCAAAAATTAATAAATGGGCTTACATAAATCTAAAAGGCTTGTGCACAGCAAAGGAAAAATTGCAAAATGAAAAGGCCATGTAGATACTGGGGAAAATACTTGCATGCTGCATGTCTGATGAGGAGTTGACATCTAAAATTTATAGAAAACTCTTAGAACTCAAGAGCAGAACAAATAACATTTAAACTATGGGCAAAAGACCTGAGCAAACATTTCTCCAAAGAAGACATGAAATTGGTCATCCAGGATGTAAAAAGATGCACATATCACACTAATCATCAGGCAAATGCAAATTAAAACCACTGTGAAATACCACCTAGCACCTACTAACATTGAAAAAAAATCAAGTGATAAAAATGTTGGCAAGGGTGTGAATAAAAGGGAACCCTATTATACTGTTGGTGGGAATGTAGCTTCGTGTTGTCATGGAAAATAATATGGAGGTTTCTAAAGAAAATGAAAATAGTACTACCATCTGACCCAGTGATATCTCTTTAGCCAACCTAAAGGAAATGAAATCACCATCTTGTAAAAAGATTTGCACCCCCATGTTCATTATGGCACTATTCACACCTGCCAAGATATGAAACAACCTAAGTGTCCATTGGTAGACAAATGGATAAAGAAAATATGAAAAAAAATATACACACACAAACACACACACACACATATCAGTGAACACAAAGGGCAGAGTGGGGTGGAGAGGACAAAAATGGGGAGATGTAGGTCAAAGGATACAAAAGAGCAAATATGTAGGATAAACAAGTCTAGAGATCCAATAACACATGAAAATTATAGTTGATAAAATTGTAGTAAGGATTTTTTGTTAAATAAGACTTGAGGTCTTGTTTCACATCCAAAAGTAACTATGGGAGATGACAGATATGCTAATTTGCTTCAATGTAACAATTTTTACCACCTATATGTATGAGGTAACATCATGTTGTGAACCTAAAGTATTCTCAATAAAAGCAATTTTGTTTAAGAAAGAAAATGCCTTTAAAAGAAGTATTCTTGGCAGGATATGGAATGATTAAAGAAAAATGAGAAGTTACCATAAGTCTTTTCATTATCATTGTGGCAGAAAAGTGAAAACTTCACTCAGACTCCAAAATGCAAAAAGAAAAAGAATTTAAGTTATGTGTGCCCCTTGGAAAAACAGTTCCGTATGCAATTTAACCAGTTCTGCTAAAAGAAGCCAAGTGCAAATTGCATTCATTTCATTAGCTCAAGAAGGAAGATTTCAGTTTTGGTAACTGCACTACATGTTATATAAGAAGATCATGAGTGTTGTACAGAGAGAAAGAGGGCAAAAGAGGTTGTAATTAAAGTAAATCTTCCCAGAGCCCTGGATAGTACAAGGAACATGGCCAGAATAAGCAAGGCTACTGACTTTTGCCAGGGTCATGTTTGGAGGTTACTTTATCATAGCCCTTTCTTAAAAAACATAATTTGAGCATAGAAGGGCTCTAAACGTTCAGCAATAGTCCATGTGCTTCCCATTAGAGGCAGAAGGAGAATGTAGCAGTGGCTTCTGCAAATGGCTGGAACCGGGATCTTCAAATTAGCAAAAGGATCTTCAGCCAACCTGGACATTGGGGAAGCCTGGGATAGTTCTAATGCACACGACACACAGCCATACAGAGTCACACAGGAACCACTGGCCCTGGTCACCCAGTCTCTCATCGTCTTCTTTTGTGTAGGAATATATCCAGCTAAGCTCAAAATGTTATATTCCTATCCAGAATAATATGGCAGTTTCCAAAGTATAAGTTAAGAGCAATATATGGTCAGTATGTTCTTTTGCTAGCTAAGCTATTATGGACTTGGAAGCTACCAAAATGGCCCATCAAATCTTCTCTTATTCTTCCACTCCCTACCCAGAGAGCATGACTGATTTTCCCAACTGTCAATTCATTTCCTATCTTACCTGCAACTAGAGTAGCATGCAGCAACTAAGCCAACTAAGGGTAGTATCACTGTTAGTCACTTGTCCAATATCTATTTTTTCCCATTTTCCTCTCTCTAAACACTTGTCCATCTAAATATTTACTTTCTTAGTCACTGTGACCTAAGTTGATATTTGCCCAAGGCTTCTGGTAAAAACTTTTTTGTTTTCCTGTTTAAACAGACAGGATCACCTCTTTCTTTCTGCTTTCAAAGCAGAAATGATGTCTGAACTACAAACATCTGGAACATCTTGGATCATGAAGCACTGTGGAAGGCACAGTGGCACAGTAGAAAAATAGAAAAAACCAAGGTCTCTCATAATATCATGACTCATAAAAAATCCCAGCAACCATCAAGCTATGGATTTTTGCAACATATCTCCTATTTGTTGAAGTAACTGAGTATAAAAGATCTCATATTAGAATATTTTAATGAAAGAAGATACAACCCTATTACACCAAGGTTTGTATAACCTGGTTTCTATAGTGAACACCCCATCTTAGAATTCCAGCTGCAGAGGCAGGGTTTATCTTTGATGAACAGGTAAAAGACTCAGATATAAGCCTTTCACATGTGTCCCCAAATTATCTTTTGCAAATTGTGGGTTTTTTGAAAAAAAAAAGATGATATACAATGTAGTCACTTTCCAAGTGCTAACATGTAGGTTCCTATAAGCAGAGCTCATATTTCTGTTTAAAAAGAAAGCAAAAACCTTCAAAACTAGTAGCATCTGATTGATGGACTAGGATATGGGTGTTCATGCCTGGAGCACAGCCAGACCAGACATACAATTACATGAGCTCCATCCCATCAAAGCTTTTTCTTCTGGCTCCAGTTTTAGGCTTGGTACACTGTTTTATCTCAGTCTGTTTTAAGACTCAAATAGTATTTAGAAGAATAAATATACAATGCCAGCTTGTCTTCTTTTCACTCTCCCATTTAGAAGAAGGTCCACCAAAGAATTTAGAAATGAAACAAATTCATCACTGTAACATTTGTATTATTATAAACCATTTTCACCATTTGCTGAGATATTGACCATGGCCAAGAGTTGTGCCAAGTGCTATTCTTAGATCATCTCCATTTGTCTTCAACAGTCTATGAGGTAGATAGATAGGCCTTCTGTAGTGAGGCCTTCCCTCAACCATTAAGTGGGTTTTAGGAGCAGCCAGGGGCTAGATGCTGGGAACATAGTCATGAAAAAGCAGACCTCGCGCCCGCAGCCCAGCCCAAACTCGCCTTTTGCAGATATCTCAGATCCTGATGGAGGAAGAGACATGGCAATGCATGTGAAGACAGGGAATCTAACCTGGACAGGGATAGGAGGAAGAGCCACACTGGGGACATCTCTAAAGGACTGCTGGAGCTGAGAATATGTAAGAGATAAGACTGGTGATGTGGGCAGTGATCAGATCTTGAGATGCCCTGCTTGGGACTTAATCCTCAAGACAATGCAAAGCCATTTACAGAAGGTGGTGGCTAGGAGTGTGGGGGTGGGGTGGTGAAGAGGAAGAAGAATGATCAGATTTAAACCCTGATTTGGAGAGATTAAATACCTTTCCCTGAAGTTGCTTATATCTGGGTTTTGAAACCACCGGGCTTGACTCCCATCCTCTGCTCCTAGCCCATAAATCTCCACCATCTTCTAGTCTTAGCAATTTCATTCCAGTCAGATGCCTTATCATGACCAAATCCATCAAAGGACCATTCCAAAGCACAGGACTTGCGTCAAGTGCTTACGGTGCACCCACGTCCACGGTAGGGTGGGGTCTCCAGGGGTCTGCCCTTGAACTATGCCCTGACTTCTATTCATTTTTTTAGTGGCTACTGCAGAATTGAAAATATGTATTTCTGACCTCATCTATTTATACATATGCTGAGACCCATTTTACTTTTGACCTAGAGCAACATTACATCAAAGCAAAAATTAACTGCAAGTAGGTTTGTGAGCAACGCCATTTTCCTGCTAGCAAAATCCCTGCTCTCCAAGTTAATACTGGCCACGTTAACAAGTGAGGCAGGCACCCAGCTGCAGTTGTGTCGAGTGAGGTTCCAGAGTTAAACCACTAGGCCAATATCACACAGGTAGAAAGTTCTAGACTGGAAGACCAGAGCTGTCCTCTGGAAAACCAAACTCTCAGGGCTACACAGCTAAGCAGGTTCTCCTCTCTAATCAGGAGGGAAGAACACATTCCCTAAAAGGCAAACACTGCATGCAGGATGAGAGGAGGCAGTCCTATCAATCCCCATGGCTTTAAATATTTTTAACTTACAAAGATCCCCAAAAGCCAATGCTGCAGAGAAAGGATATGTTTTCAACTTAACCTAAACCCATTTTTTTTCTCTTTTTAAAATTGCTGCATCTAGTTAACATTGCTATTAGGATATTTAATTGTGCTTAGAAAAATAAGAAATAAAACGTGCACAAACTCAGAAGTTGAATTTGCTAGGGTATTGGAGTGCTTTTTAAAAAGGGCCTTAGATCCCCACGGAGTCATCAGGCCCCTCCCAGATCTGGTCCTTTCATTGCTGGGAAACGAATGGCTCCCACTAGGATAGAGGTCTGAACTTGAGAATTGGTCTGAATGTTTCTTTGGAGTTAGGCTTGCTCTAGAAAGCTTTAAAAAAAAATGCTCTGAGCTCTTCATTCTTTGTTATCTTCTGAATCACCTATCTGTAATTAGTAATGTATTTATACATCCTACTCAGCAGAATAGAATGGATCAAATATTTCTTAGCATATTATTCTTTAATAGTGAAGGGCTCAATGATACAGACCCCTTTTTAAAAAACTGTATTCTTTGGGAAACTGCTTTCCTGAAGTGTAGAACTGAACTTTCCTCCATTTTTCTAAAAAGGTTTACTATTAATCTTGTTAGATCATGTTTAAACAAGAAATAGTAATACATAGCGTAGCATTATACTTCAAAGAGTTATGAATATTATAGTGAGTGTTCCTTTACAGTAAAAAAAAAAGAATTAAGTGGATCAAAGTAATTTTGCTTGTTAAAAATAATTCAACTTTATAATAGTTCTCAAGTAAATGTCTTACCATTCAATTTCAACAGGCAAAGTTTCATTCCTAGAAAAGCTATAAAATTCAAATTTGGAGGTTTTAAATTAAAAAAAGGGACAGATTTTAGGAATAAGATTTGATAACCTTATTTCATTAAAGAAGAGTACATGGAAAGTACTGAAATGGAATTACACCATTAATTCAATTTAATTCACAAAATTAAGAATAGAAACATCAAGGGGTCAGGAGGCAAAGAAAAAAAAAGTAGGAGCTGGGGTTGTGGTTCAGTGGTAGAGTGCTTGCCTAACACGTGTGAGGTCCTGGGTTTGATTCTCAGTACCACATAAAAATAAATAAATAAAATAAAGGTATCATGTACAATTAAAAAGTAAATATTTTAAAAAAAGAAAGTAAGAAAGTGTGTGTGTGTGTGTGTGTGTGTGTGTGTGCACGCACTTGCACACATGTGTGTACTCCTCTATGTTTTATCCTCAGGCAGGAAGTAGCCCCATCACTTAATAACCACATCCCTAGCAAAAGAGAAAGCCCTTAGCTAAATCTCCTAGATCAATTTGCAAACCTGAAAAGGGTAGAGTAGTGGAGGTAGTGGGTGATAAAATCTTCACGCTTTATAGTTTAGACATTCTCTTCGTTGGAACTAGGTTCTTTACATATTTATCTCATTTAATTCTCATAAGTCCAGAAGGTAGATTCCCACATTTATGACTACCACCTAACTGATGATCTTCCTGAGGCCCAATTCATCAAGAAAGTTTTCAGAGGTAACTTTGCAAAAGCAGAATCTAGAATTAGACTCTTGGCATTTTTTTTATTATTTCCCCTTCCCCTCTCTAGTCTAGAAATATAGGCCTCAATCATTTTCTTTCTATCAGTAAATGACTTGCATACTAGATTGCATCCTCTGACTACGCTGAGTAGAGGCAAAACCTTAGAGGAGCCTGATTTGAAAGCTGGGGACAGGATGGGTTGACCATATAGCCAGAAGCCCACACAGGCACAACTGGGAGGCACTGGGAGAAAACAAAGGGACAAAAGTGGGGAGGTGGAAAAATACTTAATTCAAATCATGTTCACTCAGAACCCAGAAACCCATGTACCATTGTAACCATCACCTCTATGTCTCCTTAGACATGCCACCTCTGTCCTCTATGCCTTGCAAAACAGAAAAAAGGTAAATGAGTGGTCCTGCTAAACAGAACTGTGGCCCTCCATATAGCTGATACTTCAAAGAGCAAAAGGCCTTTAAAAAATGATAGCATAAAAATAATAAGAAAAAGAACTATTGTTCATGAAGTGTTTATTGTACATCCACCACCACCATCATCATGAAATTCAGGTAGAGACAGGAAAGCTGCTCATCCAACAACACAGGACCCAAACCCAGAGATTTCACCCCAATAACTGCAATGGTTTCATGTTTCATTCAAAAGATTTCTGCTGACTCCCTACAATATGCCAGGCTCTGTGATGAGAGAGGGACACAACGCTGAGCCAGAGCTGGCACAATTCCTGTCCTCAGGGGACTTACAGTCTAGCAAGAGAGGCAGCAGTCAAGTGGTGAAACCAGTGTGCAACCTGAACGGTGCCAAGAATTCTGAAGCAGTGTCTGTGCGGGGGGACTTGCCCTAGCTTCACTTCACCTTCACGATAACTCTACTCTTATCTTACACAGGGATAGCAGAAACAAGTTTTAGGGAGAAAGGGGAAAACATTTTAGGCAGTTGGCTGAGGACCCTCCCAAATAATGAATCAATTATTTCCCTTCAGGTCATGTCATATTTTGGTTGCCATTAGCAAATCATTTAGCTTGGAAGCCTAAGTGGCAATTATGTGCACATTAAAAGTTCCAGAACGCCAATTTTACTTTAGCACGACTCATGCTATTTTGCATGCAAAGATTTCCTACTGCTTATGTAACAGAGCCAGGCAGTTAACTGACCATTCACAAGGGCACGCACCAAGAGACGTCCAGCCAGGGATTCTGCACTTGGCCTTGGGACTCAGAGTTATGCTTTAATTTTTCATCTGTTTTATGGGATGTAGAATTTGGCTTACCAACTGTGTTTATTTCTGTTCAAAGCACTGGAAATAAAAGGTTTGTGCAGATGTTTTAAGGACACCCTATAGACTAGTCACAAACTTTTGTGGTCAGTTTAGCACCAGAGTCAGGAGCAATGACTCACTCTAAACTGAGTGTTGTTGCTTCTTAAAATAATGTTTTGGTCTTCTCCTCAGGAAAGCTGGCGTGTTCGTCACACACACTGCTAGGCAGGGGGAGGGGGCCATGGGAGTGGGTGGAATTATGTGAGATGTTTTGTGTGACAAAATTTTGTTTCCACTTTTCCAGTTACTCTTGAAACTACATTTGAGAATTTCCATCTGGAAGACACCTTACATTGGTGGATCTGGTCGAAGGCTTGCATTCTATGAAGGGGAATACTATCTCTGAGACGTTAAATGATATGACCAATATCATGGCCTCTTGGTGGCACAGATGTGCCTACAACCCACTGCAGCCATCTGAGAGTTACGATCCATAGCTCTTTACCTCCATTCCATGCTGAATCTTGAATTTAATCTCTTAATTTCTTTTGATGTGATTTTTTTTTCTCTTCTCCCTTTTTAGATCACTAACCATCACCTTGAAGTTGGGCCAAATAAAGCATGAATATATAACTCTGTTTTCTAGCAGTATAGAAAATGTTCAACTGAGGGAAAGATAAATGGTATAGAAAAGCAGCATTGAATCGCTTCATAAATCAAAGAGAGTTTACAAGACATGCTTGTAAGTGTGTACAGAGCTGCATATATGCATATTTCATGGTAATAAATACAAGAGAGGTGGTGGCCGGAGCTGGAGGAATCATTTCTCCTCTATATAGGGAAGATTCGAGGGGCAGAGGAGAAGGTCAAGCATAGGATGGGCACAGTTCATGAATTCTACCCTGATGGGGGATCTGGCATAGGTTAAACCTCAAACTTGTGCTGTGCTATATGACAGCCACTTGCCATGTGGGGCAGTTCAAAGTGAAGTTGTTACAGTGAAGTGGAATTGAAGGATTCAGCCCTGTCACACAGCACATGCAGCTTGTGGCTGCTGCACTGGACAACACAGACATGGAACATTTTCACCATTGCAGAAGTTTCTTTTGGACAGTGCTAATGTAAAAGAGGCATCAGAGCAGGGAAGAGGGGAGACAGGTGGGTAGAAGAGCTTAAGGTAACTGCTTATGGACTGAATGCTTGTGTCCTTGTCAATCATATACTGAAGTCCTACTCCCCCAGGTGATGGTTTTAGAAGGTAGGAACTTTGAGAGGAGATTAGGTCATGGGGAGGGGAGCTTCATGGATGGGAGGAGTGTCCCTACAAAAGAGACTCCAGAGAGCTCCTCACCTCATTTCCCATGAGCTGGCACAGGAGAAGATGGCCATGCAGGAGCCAGGAGCAGGCCCTCACCAGGCCCTGAGTCTGCCTCATGCCTTGATCTGGGACTTCCAGCCTCCAGAACATGAGCGACAATGGGGCAGTCTGACCTCCTTTCTTGTCTGAGTTGCCTAATCTATGGTATTTTTGTTTTAGCAGCCCAAAGAGCCTTGGAGAAAACTATCTGTCCAGAAAGGACACACCAGATTAGAGGAAACAAGGGATGGGCTATACTGGGGTGACCCAGGGATAGTTTCTGAATTGGGTTGGATCTTGGACTCAAGGCCTTGACCAGCTGCTATAAAATCCTTGTGCAAATTTCTAAAAAGTGGTGCCCCTCTGGGCAGAAGCATTCCTGTGGTTTTTTTCTGGTGGGTATCTTTTATTTTTTGCAAATAGCCAACAAAAAGGGGTACCTTCCTTAAAACAATGCAGACATGGAAAGATCAGTGGTTCCAGAAGAGAGGAGAGGAGGGAGGAAGGAAGGAATAGGTGGAGCAGGGGGGGTTTTAGGGCAGTGAAACACTATCCTGTATGATACAATAAGGATGCAAATGCGTCATCATCCATTAATCAAAACCCACAGAATATACAACAGAGTGAACCAGAGTTCATGTATTTTAAGGACTTCAGTCCTGATAATCTATCACTATTGATTCATCAGTTACAGGAAGTGTATCACCCCAGTGCTAGATGCTAATAGTTGGGGAAACTGGGAGGGGGATGGAAAGGGATAGGCAGGGATATTTTGTAAACCTAAAACTGCTCTAAGAACCAAAGTCTGTTAATTACAAAAGACAAGTAAACCAGTTTACCTGTGAAGTATTTTTAGGTACTCTGAAAGTTTTCACTTTTGCATAAACAATGATATGACAATACAGTATGCTGATTGACTTGGCTTCAGTTGATAATCTCACATAATGTCATGTGTTTATCAAAATATTTGACATATGAAAAATATCCCCAAACAGTGTGCCTGTCTCTAGCTGTCTATAGCACATCAGCAGACTAGTGCCTGACATTTTGGTGAACACAGTGCACATTGCATTTTTGTCCCCATTTACCTGCTTCCTCGAGTGTTTATGTGCAGTGCACAGACTGTACAACTGCATACAGTGGCCCTGCTAGGACCCATCCACTACTACTGTGGGTCTCCAAGTAAGAACTGTAGAGGTTATGGTGACAGAGGGCAAAGGAAGACCATCTCTGTAGGGTACCAAGAACTGACTGTAGAAGCAATCTGGCTGAGAACCTGCAAACCACATGAGAAATACTGTTTCATAGGATGAAGAATATAGAGCAAGATCAGAGCCCCGAGAGACCCTCAGAACTGGCAGTAAAGTGAAAATGGAAAAGAAGACCAAAGGAATAGTCACAAAACCAGAAAGCAGCAAGCGAGTCCCAGCAGTACCATACCTAGAAGGTGCAGCCTGTAGCCTGTTCCTGAGTTGCTGGTGCTCTTGGCCGGTGCTGTGCTGCTAGGCTGCTACCTTGGGGGAGAGACAGGTTCTGGGAGAGGGTTGGGATCTGAGTTCTCACCGGGAGGCTTTATACACACACACATGGCATGGTCAGGGGCTAGGGGAAAGAGGAGAAGGGAAACGCACCCCAGCAATGACTGGAATGCATCAGCTGTGCAAAACAAAACTCCTGGGAAAGCCAGGCTCGGCCGGCCTTGGGTTGTGGTTCAGGAACCAGTAATGGGATACAATGATCTAGCTTCCCGGCCAGGAGCACCAGCCCAACCCAGGTTAGGAGTTAGCAGCACGCTTCAGACATCAGTGTGCAAGGGACTGAAAGGGGCAGTCGAACCTTCTAGTATCAGAGTCATCCTGAAAAGAACCACCTGCCACACTAGGGAACCTTAGCAGCCCGCTTCACAGAGTGACTGGGAAGGGAAACAGCACTGTGACACCGGCTTGTTCTCAGCCACGAAGGGAGCCTCTCCAGGACAGGACTGAAGCAAGGTGGAAAATTTCAGCCTCTCCTTTTTACAGAGGCCAGTGCTTATCTAAGCTTGGTGCATGGACCACTTACATCCACATCACCCTGGATTCTGGTTGATCATGCAGACTTCTTGGGTCCTCCTTAGACCAAGCCAATCAGTATCTAGGGATGGGGGCTGGGTATCTGTCTTTTAATCAGCTTCCTAAGTGAGTCTCTTTAAATGTACACTGACATTTAAGGGTTATTGATGCAAATCAGAATATCCTAGAGGGCTTGTTAGTATATAGCTTACTGGCCCGGAGAATTTACATTTTTTTTTCCAAGTTCCCAAGTGATGCTGTTGAACCAGGGACCACACTGTGAGAACCACTCAGTGAAGGGAATCTCTCTTTACCTGGCAATTTCTTGACAGCTCAGGAAGTGTAAAATCCCACTTCTCACTCATCCGCATAATTGAACTAGCTTCTATCACCCTGTCATTCAGATGACTAACACCCGTGACCTCTTTTTCACCTTGTTAGATAACTTGTAGTTTTCAATTGACAAAACCCAAAGGGATTTCACCTGACCAGCGCTAATCTTGTATATTGTTTTGGTTCCACATGTTTATATTGTCATCATCCCCATCATTTTCTCAGGTTGAACAGTGATCTGTTGAACCTTATGTTACCTTGGACTGCACAAATTAAAACCAGAACCTTCCTTTGCTTGTCATAGGAGACACCCTGCAGAAAGTGCTGGGGGTGGGGAGTCTGGGGGAGAAACCTGAAAATGTTCTGAAATGTAGGTGTTATTTGGGGGAGGCTTTCTCGGACAGGCTGTCCAGCTGAGATTCTGATAAACACTATTTTGCTTGCGCAGATAAAAAGGAATCATTTATTGAAGGAAGGGATGGAAGTGTTTGAGGAGGCCCTTCTGCAGACATCTCATAAACAGGATAACCCCATCACCTCTATCAGTGAAAGTTTATATGCAGCCAGGCCACAGTCCAGAGGAACAATGGGCAACAAGAACAGTGGGTGGCCAGGAAAGAGCCTCAGTCCTGACAAGATTGTTCTGCCAAGAGAATGGCTGTAAACAGGATTAGTGGTAATGAGATTATCAACTCAGGACCTGAAGGCCCTTGATGGAGACTTCAGTGTTGCATAAAGCAAAGACCAGGAGGTGAGGTGCTTGCAGGGTGAGAGGATTACAAGGCAAAGACAAGGGCTTTTCCTCCCAGCTTCCCTCTAGTCCAGGGACCAACTCTCCTGGGATAAAAAAATGAGTTGCCAAAACTTGTTTGCAATTTGCAAATATTGTTTGGGGCAGAAGTAGAAAACTCAGGGGCCAAAGCACTGAGAAGAGGCTCTCCATCAGGGGACTTTGGCAAAGTCTAGAGATAACAGGGATGGCAGGTGCTACTGGCATCTAAGGGCATAGACCAGGGATGCTGCTCAACATTCTGTGATGCACAGGACCAACAAAGACTTATCCATCCTCAAATGCAGAGGCAGAGAACCCCTGCAGCAGAGAGATGGAGAGCAAATCCAGTTAGGCAGAGCACTTGCCTGGCATCTGTAAGGCCCTGGGTTCCATCCTTAGCAGGAATGGGGGTACAATTTGATGGGGAGTGGTGGTATGATAGGAAAAAAGAATGTGTTAAAAGACTCCTTAGTGAGTTGGTAGTTAAAGAGAAACACATACACACACACACACACACACACACACACACACACACGCACGCACACACACACTGGTCTAGATTAGATTCACTACTTTTAGCTGCATCCAGGATTCATGGGTGTGCGTTTTCTAACAGGTAAATATGTAGCAGTGACGACAGAGCTTAAGACTGGTTTCTTCTTGCCTTCAGGGTAAACTGTGAATACCTTGTACTTCGAGGCAGACTTTCAATCAGCCCCCTGCCATACCCCACGCAGTCCTCTTGGTGTCAGCCACAGGGAACTGCTTATAGGCTGCTCCCAACCCCTCAAGCCCTGTCCTTCACAGGATTTCCCCTGTCCTGACACTCCTCTGGTGGCCAACTGCTTCTCCTCCTCCTCAGCTCTTCCACCAAGTCTTCTCAACTCCCTCAGCACTGGGCTGCCTTCCTCTTCGCTGCTTCCCTGGAATAGAACCTCAACTCACTCGGACTGTGGCAATGTTCCCACTTTGCTGCAGCAATTCACTTACTTGCTCCTGAGGAACTCTTGGGCAGGCATTGATGCCCAGCTCCACCCCTGGAGCATACTGGGCCCTCAATAAATATCTGTTAAATGCTCGAGAGAATTTGCACTCTCTCTCTTATTTCACCCTTGGGATAG